CTTTGCGTTTTTGTGTTTCCATTCTAAAACGATTTACATTCTTCCATTCTATAACTCTCACTAACATAAACAACTCCGCACGATTCGTCTTGCTGAGCGTGGAAGTTCGTTATAAACGGAAAGTGAATATACAACTAACCTAAAAAGTGATCGTTATATCCGGAAGTTCGTTATAACCAATAAAAAAATACGTTGGTCTTTATAGACGACGTTTCAATTAAAGGAAACTTTACTAAAGGAACTTTACTGTATTTTTAAATATGTCAATTTTGACATTGATTAAAAAGTTGACAGCAGCCTAGAATTATAAATTAAAACGTCATACGTTTATAAACAAATATTCAATATCAGGAATACTTTCCCGAAAAGTTTTAGTGTTGTTTGCAGCCAAAATGTTGGACTTTTAAAACCATCAGACTCACTTTTCCGTCGGGTAAGTACTTTGCAATAAGTTACAATGTTTATATTACGATGAATGATGACAGAACTGTGCGTTTGGTTCACAATGCGTAAAATTGAACTTATTTAGACGGACGGTAGTGTGTTTTATACTACTTTTAGTAGTGATCGTAGGTAAATCAATTTTTGTGAGTCTAAATAGAATAAAACACTGTGATTCATTATAATATACCTTCGATAGCTCAGTTGGTAGAGCGGTGGACTGTAGTTGGCAACTGAAATAGATATCCATAGGTCGCTGGTTCAAATCCGGCTCGAAGGAACTTTTTGGAAAAGTTTTGCAATTTATTTTAATCAATTCGATAGACGTTGGCAATTCAAAGTCAGAATAGCATTCGGCTATGCATTTAGGAACAATTTGAATGTGAAGTTGAATATATATTTTCTTACAAAATTTCATATAAGGTGAATTATGATGAACGTTAGATGATAAAATAATCACAATTAAAACAGGGCAAAACGTTAAATGCTGTCGAAGTAAAATCAAATAAACCTTGGAAGTATCTGTGGATGATTTTTTTGTGTGACCTCTCCCCCCCCCATTCAATTATCTATCCAACGATGCCAAAACGACTTCTGTGGCTCGAATGGTTCTTGAGAAACTTCGAAAAAAGCAGCGTCATGTTCAAGTGGATTTTGCAACTCAAAAAAAACACGCAAATCTGAAACTTCTTGAATTCAAGCTTTTTTGAGAAAACCTGGCAACATTTCCCCATCCATGGTTCACTTTCTAAAAAGGCCATTTACTTCTCTCTAGAATGATGTACAAATGAGCGTTTTTGCTCATTTTGCCTACGAGAAATGAGCAAAAGCTGGACGAAAAAAATGGAATTTTGGCATAATCTTGCACCTAAGTGTCTGATATTCAAATTTCGATGATGAATAGCTCTTCATGTCGCAATATCTACGTTGTTTCTACTAAGAATTCACTCATAATAGTTGAACAATCAATTGGTGTGGTGTTAGTAGATGCAGATAGACTTAAAGTAGTTTTTCACATTCATACTCATCTACTTAGATGGAGTTGGAGTAAGTGTTTGCGTATGAGTATTTCTGTTTAATAATGCTGAAAAATCATCATCAAATTCATGTCAAATCAATCGACTGCCTCCCAAATAACATAAACGAGCGTAGTAAAGGCAGTGAATCGGCAATTTGTCACACCACCGGGTCTTCGGTACTTAACAGTCGAGTAAACATTTCCATTGAGCGTTTGGAAAGTTCTTATTCTCCCGAAACGGGCGTTTACAAATTTGATGTCAAACAAATCGTTCCCATTATTATACCTGCTGATGCTAGCCGACTATTCAAGATATGTATTATTGTTGTGGCTGCGGTCTGAAGAACGTTTCCGGTGTTGAAAGGTGCCTTACTACTCTCAATGAGTTGACTAGGACTATACTGTTGAAATTCGCTATAAGCATGTAAGAATGGCTAGGCAAATATTTAAATTCAATCTTATACACGGCATTGAAAAATTGTTTTTGTAAGCATTATGGATCCAGTCCAATATGATAAGTGGAAATGTCGAAATTTGAATATCAGACATTGAGGTAAGTACAAGATTTTGCAAAAAACTTTGGGTTTTCCTCATTTCTCGGAAGCAAAATGAGCAAGAACGCCCATTTTTACATCATTCCGGAGAGAACTAAATGGTCGTTTTAGACAGTGAACCATCCATAAAGAAATGGCAGTTTTCTTAAAGAAGTCTAGATTTCAAGAAGTTTTAGATTTGCGTGTTTTTTTTGAATTGCAAAATCCACTCAAACATGACGCTGCATTTTTCGAAGTTTAATTTGGGCCACATGATTCGTTTCGGCATCGTTGGATAGAGAATTAAAAAGTCGATTCAGTCATCACAACACGAGTGAGGCAATTCGAGTGGTTTTGACCTAGAAAGCGAAATTTGAATACCATACAGGGTTGCTCATTAGTGCGTCAAAGTGCGATATCTCAGTAAATATGAACTTTACAAGAAAATACGTCCTACGAAAGTTTTTCATGTTTAAAA